TGTGAACCCATCCCCCACTGCGAGGTTTGGTCTCGTCGGTCCTCCGGCGGAGCTCGGGGCTTGCGTTTCTTCCTTCCTTGGGGCTTGCTCCAGTCAGGCCCTTCGAGGTCGGGGTCTTCCTCTTTGACAAGATCTAGCGGTCGCTTGAAGGGATCGGAGCTGTCGTCCATTTCCGGGTCAACTTCGGAGGTATCGTCTACAGAGCGGTCGTTCCCGTCGACTGACTTCTGTCGCTGGCTTTTTGAGGAGCCTGGAGCGGCCCTGTTGGTGTCTGCGCCATTTCCGACGCAGGCAGCTGTCTTGTCGGCTTCGAGAATTGATGCGGTGATGTCTTCATTTTGTGATGTACCCCGTTTGTCAGCACCTGAAGGTGTTTGGGTATGGGTGGTGTTTGGGCATGCCCAGTGCCGTCTTCTATTTTCGAGGCTTCTTCATCGATGAGGAATTCCGAGTTGTCTTCCTCGGGAGCCGGTTGCATTACAGTAGCGTACGTCCGGATGCAAACCTCTTGTTCGTGACCAAGACGATGGCACTTATCACAGCGAGAGACGCGACATTCTCGGCGGATGTGGCCTGTTCTCTGATATCGAAGGCAGAGGGGCGCTCTTCCGGGGACAAGAACGAGCACGTTGCTGCCGAACAGACGTAGCATGGTGCGGGGGGTTTTCCTTGGTGGCGCCTTCCTTCAGGTTCATTCTCACCAGCCTTGTCGTCGTCTGAACATTCTGGAAGCCTTCCGCCCTCCATGTGTCTCGGGACACTTCATTGATTTCTCCGTAAGGCTTTAGGGTCCTCCGCACTGTGTCGTCGGTTATGTGAATAGGTATCCAGTGGAGCCGTATTCGCACCTCGAACTCATCGGGATCGATGAGCAGGCATCTTTTACCTCAAGTTCCTTGGCTTCCAGAAGTTGTCGCTTCGCTGTCAGGGAGTTGAAAGTGAAGAGCCAGACATGATTCATCTGGTACGCGGCGGCTCTGATGAGGTCGTTTAGAACGCTGTGGTGTTCCATTTCTCCTCGAAAATCGTCAATCTTGTACGGGCGTCCGGTGATGTCGCAATGGGCAAATACAAAGTTGAAAACTTCAGTACCTGTAGGCAATGACGGCAGAACCACTCGGTAGGTCCCCTGGGACATTTCAGCAGATGATCCACGGCCGGCGAAAGCCGTTGGAGACGCTCTACGGGAGCTCATTTTTTCGCGACCGTTTCGAACGGCGTCACGCGCTTCTCCACTCGGCCACCGATCCCTTGGCTCGGATCACGGTGGCTCGGATCCAGTCAGGCGTTTTGTACCCAAGAAATGGCGACCGCCAATGTTGCTCGACGAAGTTTTGAAAAGGGTTTATTCTGCACTAACGTGGGACTACTGCAGGTTCAGCCGCTCTCTAGCTTAAGGGGAATAATAAAAAAAAAGAAAGATAGACGGCAAAGAAAACATTAATTCAACCTGAGGTGGTTTATTTCAATCCTCTGGCAACACTGAGCCTAAAAAAATATTTTTGTAAAAATAAAAATAAAGAAATGTGGCTAATTTTTTTTTTTTAGTTAAATGGATAGACAGTTTAAGATAAGAATTTTAATTTGCTTGCCCTTCCTTTCTAAACCAGGCAGTGTGACTTCGAAGACTGGCTGGCGATTGCCATGGTCTGAGATCCAAGGCAAAATTAGTCAATCAAAGTGATTCATCAATGTGACCCTCAAATATTTTCGGGGTATTCCTAGAAAAATTAGCTAGATGTAATAAGAAATAACCAGTGTTATATTTTCTACGACACTGTTTATTATTGAGCCCTCTAGCAGAATGAAGACGGGGCTAGCGCTAGTCCTGTCTTCGTGCTCATGCATCGACCCTTGTGTGTCCTTCGCTCTCTTTATTGTTCATAACGCTTTTCCAACTTGCTTTCCTTAATATTTCAGTACACCCCCTAGTTGCCTGAAATCCCGCAGTCATGAACCGAAGGTTGAGCGGCAATCCAAAGCGCGGATATAATTTAAGTGGCAACATATTTATTGAACACCCGAAGCTCAAGAACAAAAAAAAAAAAAAAAGAACAAAAAGTGGACAACATACCTACTTCCTTGTTCCTAAGTCTCGGGCGTCCAAGATGTCGACATTTTACAAACTCACCAGCTGGTTTTCTGTTATTCATATTATTTAACTGGTTATCCCAAAAATACAACATATAAAAAACGTCAACCGATATTTTTTATTCAGCAATCCTCAAACTTATGGGATATTAATGCAAAATTTTAAGAGATAAATAAATGTATTGTTTTGAAAAGTTTAGCTAAAATGTATAAACATTAATGGTTTCATAAATAATATTCGTGTAATTTTTTTTTTCATAAATGGTACCAACACGGACAAATTGGCAAAGCTTTTATTATTTCGTTTGCCGGAGATATACGCATTTTAGGGCAAAATTGCTGCGATGGCATGTTTTCGATTTGCAAAACGAAGCCAGACTAGAAATAGCTGTTGACTCCTAAAAATAAATTATAATAGTCCCTGTCTTGTCAAAAGATGTTATGGGTATGAATAAAGTCAACATTATTGATTAAAAAAAGGCTGCAATGAATAAAACGGCAGTTTGAGCTTTAAATGTTTCCAGCACTTCGTTGAACGTTTTTATCTCCGTCGAAACGATGTTTCTTGCTTTGTAAGTGTATTTCATTGACCAGAAAGATATAAATATTGAATATAGCTATTTATATCGACGTTCGGGCGAGTTTCAAGGAAACCATCCAAATAACGATCGGCAGAATTGTCGCAACTCTACACAATCGTGTTCGGCGGCCTTCTAGAAATAGCTGGCGGATCTCGCATCGCCCGATCTACAAGGCCATCGCGCCACAAGACTGGCTTCAGTTATTTGCGTACGGGACGGATCGACCAACCGCTGGTCGTCAACAGCAAGGATCCAAATATACTTCACTGACAGGTCATTTGTGCTGGCCAAGGTTGTTATTTGTACGTGACATATGAGAGCCCAACTACTCAGAACACAATTTGCGGCTCGAAATTCGTTTTCTTTCCGCCCGAAAACCGCCGATCGAGAACTGGCCCGTTTGAGCCTCGCTCACCATCTTCTCCGTGGTCGTGTGTTGTTGTCTATGGTTTAGACACAACCACCGAAGATAATGGAAGTCCTGGGTCATCGAAGACACACACTCAGCACTAAAAATAGACAAAAATAATGATACCCATTGTTTTTGTGGCTCCTATAAAGCTGTAAACACGTTGATTGAGAAAAAAAAAAAAAAAAAGCAGCACAGCCACGTGATTTTCGGTAACATTCTCCTCCTCTGTATTTCTACCTTCTTTCCAGTCCAGGTTCGGTTTCGGTTTCTAGCAGTTTCGGTCTTTTTTTTTTTTACTTTATTAAAAATAGACGTGACGCTTAGCAAAATATTGATTTTGAAGTCTTCTGACACCAAAATAAATTGCCTGGCAAAACATAAACTTTTTTTTTTTTGGGGGGGGGGGGGTGTTAGTGTCCCTTTGAGCCGACAGCACGGTGGGAGCCATGTGCTTGCCGGACCAATCAATAATAATAAACACTTTATTTTCATTTCTCATTAGAGGTAATAATGGAGCCGAGAATAAAAGCCGCAATAGACGGCTTGACAAGCTCCCGGTCCGAGTGCCATTCTGCAGCAGTCAGAGGGACTTTCGCCTGCCTTCTTCACCACCTGACCCCGCTCTCAGCGCTTGGCTATGGGCGAGGGCGTGCTCACATTGCAAAATATATATTAATGACTGGACCAGCGAGCACGCAGTTTCCGCCCAGTCATGTGAGCGTTACACAAATGGAGCAGCCAAATCCCCTTACTCTTCTCCTTAAAAAGGGAACTACGTAGGTCATTACTTTGTTACCGAAAAAGGCAACTAGATACAAGCAACGCGTTATCCGTAACGCGCCTGGTAGAAGTCTGCTTCCACCGGACCGTCAGCTTAGCGGGGGACGGAACATAGCTCCCGACGTGAAATACTGCGCGTTGCACACGTATAGGAACGATCGTCGGTCAGAAATCTATCGCGTAAGAAGGCAATAAATTTCTCCACCTGCGTCACTCGGGCTTTGTTGACAAGGCCGCCCCGCGCTCTGCGGCTAGGACGTCCAGATTGGTGCGATCGAAACTTCCCGAGGTGTGTGTTTAGCACGCCGCTCCGGGTCTTATCGCACGTGGGCAAGCCAAACGGAGCGAACAATCAATGAGTTCCCACTCAAGGCCGCCGCTGTAATAGAAACCTGACAGGCTAGCCGTCGAATATCCTCGGGAAGTGGGATTTCAAAGCAGCGTGCGCAGTCTATGGGGCGGCCGAATTAAGAACTACTGAGTTGTACTTATTTACTTTTTGAGTGTATTTTAATCATATAACTGCAGACTTTGGAAAAGACTCCAAAGAGACATCATATTAGGGGCTAATGTAACGTCACAGACAAATGCAAACTTCACTGACGGATGGAAGGTCACAAACCGACGTTACGTCACGTACATATTTACCATCATGAAGAGATGTAACGTCACGTCGCAGACAAATATTGTGCGGCAATATTTGTCGCGCTGTTGATACATCATACCGAGGACGGTCTGCAAACACAAGTCACCGCAATAGACCCCTTTCGAAGCAAAGCGCCCTCTATCGCATGCAAATGCAACCAGGTCCGGCGCCATTGTGAAGTGGTCCCGCTGGCGTAGTCTGATCGGTGCTTTGTGGACGACGATTCCCGGTCTGAGACGCGTACTGCGTCAAGATGCCAACGCACTGCTGCGTGCCTCTCTGTACGCAGAATGGATACGTCGATGAAAGCGCAAAGAAGGTGCGTATCAGAAGAGTTCTAAAAAGTGTTCTGAAAAACCAAGTCCGCGCGCGCGATCCTTGATGCGGTTAGTGTTCGCGTTGCTAAGCCTGACTTTGACGAGCGTCAGTTCAACTACTTTCTCCTCAGCTTTTGCAGGCCTGATAGAAAACGATCTTATCACCCGTGGGCATGACTGTCGCACACGATAATCCGGGCTTAAAAGTTGTAAATGGGCCCGCGGCACCCTCCGTGGCAACCATCGCTTTAAATCGTACGGCGAGTTGATCCGTCGGTGGGCCCCTTATCGGTAGGCTCCTTCCGTTTACTTGCAACTCGAAAGTTGACACCCGGGATAGGAGCGTAGAGCTAGATCATGTGTACACCGCAGCAGAAGGCGTAGGGGAACCAAAGGCCCCCGAGGGATCGCCGGAGCATTCCATTTTAAACGTTTAGCTCGCCTCAGCAAGGCGGCAGGGCCGTACCGCTTAACATTTGGAGATGTCGAGCTTTTGTTAGAATTTATACCAGCAGGCATGAAATATAACAAATGCTCGTGATAATTTGTAATCATAATACATAACCCACATTTATTAATCTATAACAAATTGCGTTGCTAATTTGTAATTTCTGAGAATGGTATTTTTGATACACTAACTTTTTAATTTGCAGGTGTCCTTCCATAGATTCACCAAATTGGAGGAAGTCTACCGGAAGTGGATAATTGCTATCAAGCGTGACGAAGGCACATCATTCAAGGTGTCGAAGGCAACCAAAGTGTGCTCGAGGCACTTCGTAGAAAGTGACTTTGTGCGGAATGTGGCTAACGGGCACAGGCTGCTTTATGAGCATGCTGTGCCGTCAGTGTTCAGCTTTAAGAAGCCGCAAGTTGTCAGGAAGCCTCCAAAACAGAGAACGTCAACTGTACCACAAGCAACGCAACCCGAAGCAGACTTGCTACAACCCGAAGCAGACCTGCAACAATCAGAAGACACCACCACTGCCCCCGAGCTGCCAGATGAAGATCCTGGAGCGAGCCCAGTGCCCATGGAACCGCCAGTCTGCATGTGCAGCTTGGAGCCCGAGCTCGAATTAAGGAGGGTAGCAGAGAGGAAGCTGCACAGTGAAATCGAATTGCTGCGAAATGAACTGAAAGAAACCAAGGCCGAAGTGTACCGACTGAAAGCCGAGCTCCAAAGAGCTCTAGCAAACTGCAAGGTGCTAGAGGAGAAAAATGTGCCTTTCAGCGTTGAAAAATTCCAAGAGAGCGACGAGGACATTCAGTTTTACACCGGACTACCCAATTATGGTACCTTCATTGCTTTCCTCGAGCTCATTGACGCTGGAGAGAATGGTAAAAATATTATTATGCGATCCGGAGTTAGCTTGCATGCTTCAGAAAAGGCTGGATGGCCACGTAAGCTATCGGCAAAGAATCAGCTGTTTCTTGTTCTGGTTAAGTTGAAAGGTGGCATGTTCCATAAACACCTGGGACATTTGTTCGACATTTCAGTGAGTACTGTGTCGAAACTGTTCAGCGCGTGGATGAGCTTTTTGTATCTCCATCTCACGAACCTGGCTCTCTGGCTAACACGAGAGACCATCGACGGCACCGTGCCACCAGCTTTCAGGGAAAAGTATCCGACAACTAGAGTCATCTTAGATGCCACAGAGATTAGGTGTGAGGTGACAAGCTCGTTTGTAACTCAGTCGGGGACGTACTCGTACTACAAATCTACGAACACGTTTAAGGGCCTGGTGGGCATTTCACCCAACGGCCTTGTGACATTTGTGTCCGAGCTTTTTATGGGTTCCGTTTCTGACAAAGAGACTGTCATCCAGAGTGGCCTTCTTGAGATGCCCTTTGATAAGGGCGATTCTGTCATGGCCGATAAGGGCTTTAAGATTGCCGACCTCCTCCAAAAACTTGGCGTAGCACTCAACATTCCTCCATTTTTGAATCGAGGCAAGTTCTCCACCGAGGAAGTCGTAGAAACACAGGACATCGCTGCCCTCCGGATTCACGTTGAACGCCGAATCCAGAGAATTAAGCCCTTCCACATTTTCGACCGCCCTATTCCCATCTCGTTGGCACCCCTTGCCAACCAAATATGGACTGTATGCACAGTCCTCACTAACATGCAGTCCCCACTCATCAGAGACAGTGAGTAAACTGCAAGGTAACTTGTAATGCTCATTGCAAAGCTGATAGCTTCAATTGTTCAAAGGTAATTTATTGTTTAAAGGGATACTACAACAAAAATTCAACGCTCATTTTTTTGTCTATATATGTGTTCAAAGGAGCAGTATCACATCGAACATACCAATGCCTTGCTAAAAAAGTCTCGAAAAGGAATTTTAAAACAAATTAAAGGATTAGCAAAGAGCACCTGGTGGATTTCGCTGACGCCTCGTTTGTAATGCTCGTCTAGGAACCTTGACAGCTAGTGACGGAGGTTGTCTTGCCTCCGGCCACGACGAAAGAAGAGGGGAACGAGGTACTCCTCTCTTCCCGAGAATGCCTTTTGTGTGTCGCAGAAGTCGCTATTGTCCCTCTACAAGATTATAGAAGATTAACCCATCACTCAAAATTCATACAAAGCAGCCGCTTCGGTTGCTGGAACGACTAGGCCATTCTCTCAACGTCAGCCTCGCCATAGCTTTGCTCGTCCCAAGACGAACTACGTCACTATTGCGTTGAATGTCACGTGGTCTCCGCTGGGCCTTCTCCGAGCGCTTGCCAGAGTGGGCCGTCTATAACGAAAAATACAACCACCAAGCTCAAAATACAAACGTGCGATTTTTTACGGATATTGTGGATCATATTCAACCTATCTTTGAACACAACGGGAATATTTAAAAATATGTTGAAGTATCCCTTTAACTGAAGTGAATTCACACTGAAAGGATCCGTGTGCCTCACTGCAGATTTGTGTACTGTTCCAGTTAGGAGAGAGGGCGAAATAAAGACTGAGTAGACAGAAATGTCGGCGATTGTCACACTTAACGAATCAAGTGCACCGTGTCTGCATGTTTGCCAAGCCCTGCTAATATTGCTTGTCAGTGCACTTCCACCTTGTGTATAAAAGACTTCTAAACACTTACCATCTATTTGTTGTTGGCAGTCATTAAAGCCCTTAGCACAGAACATTTAATTAGTAAGGGGGCGGTAGCTTTTACAGTTTGCAAAGCTATTGTGAAAAGAGAATAGTACCCTCGCCTAGTGTGTTTACTGAGACATTATAAAATGGCACATGCAATGGGTCAAAATCGTTTATGCAAAAATGTTCCAAAAGCCAAGACTCGTGATGATTCAACGCATAACACCGACTTGAGAAAACAATACTAACAATTTAATCGGCTGTTTCGTCCCAATTTGGAAGACATCGTCAGTGTGCGCCAGGAAACACAAATAAAAAGTACAGCAACCAGTTCGCTATTTAAGGATGCCTGCATACACTTCGGGGAGGGTGATCATGGAGGTGCAGCAACGGGTACGCCTTTTACGTGTGGGAGAAGGGGGGGGGGGGGGGGGGGGACCGCGGTGCAATGCTAACCACAGTTCCCTCTACGAACTGTATGTGGACGTCCTTAAATAGCGCACTAGTTGCTGTACTTTTTATTTGTGTTCCCTGGCACACACTGACGATGTCTCCTGAATTGGGACGAAACAGCTGATTAAATTGTTAGTATTGTTTTGTCAAGTTGGTGTTATTTGTTTAATCAATCCTTTATTCGGAACACGGAAGGCCCTATCTTGATGTTAGACAACTACCTGCTGCACTCCAGGTGAGGCAGCAGCACGTTGAAGTAAAAGTCTTCGAGCTTTGCACTCGCGCTCGCCCATTCGCCCGCATTGAACCTTATTCTCTCGATGAGTATGAAGTGCTTTGCGTAGACAATGAAGTCCCCCCACTGTAGCCCGGAAACAGCCATTTGTCCAAGAACTTGGAAGTGATGGGGGTGGCCGTCCTTTAGCTTTGACGGGTCCTTGTCCACTTTGGAGCAGAAGTCCAAGTGCTCGAGCTCGTCCGCAGTCTTCAGCCAGAGAGACGAAGGGCACTTTATCTCCACGATGCCATGAGGAGGGTCTTCGGCAGGATCATACACAATCCTGTCCGGTGACGCTCCAAGCCATGGAGCTTCCGGGTCAACAAAAAGTCCACAGCCGCTGACTGTAACTTGGTGCCCCAATCCTTTTAGGATATCTTCGTAAAACCTTGCAGCGACCGGCTCGTTCATGATGCCGTGCCTGAAAAATTAGATATGGGTTATATTACCACCCAGATATAAATGACGATGCTGTGTCTGCATACCATGTTCCCATTTCTTCAGCCCAGTGCACACTAGCGGGCACAGGCTGCTTCACAAGCCTGCTTTGCCATCAGTGTTCAGCTTGAACAAGGTGCGAGGTATCAAGAGGCCTCCGAAACAGGGAACACCATGAATCACACCACAAACAATGCAACCCGAAGCAGGCCTGCAACAACCCAAAGGCACCACTAGTGTCGCCTCACACTGAAGAGATTTGACAATGCACTTTGGGGAGAAAGCTCAAAGGCCAAAATATCTCAAACACGTTGTTCAAGTCATAGCAGTGTAGCAGCCGTGCCAGCTGTACCACTGGAGCGAAAGAAAAGAAGCCGAGGCGCACGGAAGAAGACCACGAGACACTAGCTTTGCGATTCGGCGACCGAGCGGACCGGCGGCTAGATCGGACAATGTTTTCTACTGTTTTGGTTTTCTTGTAAATATAGTATATAAAAATATGTTGAGTGCCACCTGACTGGTACCCACAGCAGATTCTGCGTTGGGTTGCACAATTTTTTTATTATCAAAAACAATTATGTGCACTTTCAGAGGCATTGACAGTAGAAATTCAGGGTATGATGAAAACAGCTCTAAGTGTGCTTATATGGATGCACAAGATCTATAAACAGCAGCCATACTCTGTTCACTGCTAAGTAGACAGAACGATAGAAGCTATGTGTATGGCAGACCAGTAAGTGTCGGCTTTGCGCCACACAATCAGGGTCCCTGCCTATACGAGCGCACAGAGTCAAGCAATAAAAGACTGGAAGAAATTTATCCTCCGAGTATGTAGCCCCCGCCGCCCTGTCAGCTTAGGTGTGAATGGAGTACAAGTATATTTATTTTCAAATGATGCTCATTTGTTTTAAGGGAACAAAATAGCACTTTTTTATTACGGTTAGTTGAGTCACTGCCTAGTCACTGCCCTATTTGCCTTTAAGTTGTTCCCACGCACAGTCCTCCGCCTCTTGTTCACAAGCCCCTTTTTTACCTCTCCTATATTGTACATCATCTGAGGAAATAGTCTTCCTTTCTCGCCGAGTAAAATCACTACGGTGAAACTATTCTCGCCAAGTCTGGCCCATAACATTTATAGGTTTAAGGCAGTTCGCAAGATATTTCCTCCTGATATAGAATGATGTATTGCGTATCTATACACTATGCTTGCTGCTTTGGACCTTGACCTAATATTCAGTTTGGTATGTATTTAAAAGCAAATGCTGTCCTGCCAATAGGGTGGTTTCGTGCGACATACTTCTGGTTCAAAATCTTGCCGGAAAGGCGCACAATCGGGGACGTATTTCCTTTCCGTAACACATCGCTTACTCTGTTTTTGTTCCTTTTGAAGTAACCCTCGACGTGTCTCCTAAGGCCGTTTCGGTCAATGACACCCGTCTGCTAACACGTCGGCATGTCCCACACTCTTTCATATTTAGCGTGCAACGCTGTCAAAGCTACTGGCGCGAGCGCGTGGCTTCATTTATGGTTTTGTTTGCGCGAGAACGAGTGCAAATGATCAACAAGATCAAGCCCCACGCTCATGCCAGTAGCTTTGACAGTGTTGCACGCTAAGCATGAAGCAGAGTATAACTCCGAATAAAGACCCGCACGTTTGAAAATCGGATACCAGCTGATATTTTTTGTTGTTGCCGACTGCCGTTGGAGTGCAGACAATCAAAACACCAAACAACTTAAACGTGAAAGGAAAATCAACCTCGCAGCATCCGTTCATAAGAATGCGTAGGGACAAAACTTACACCAAAATTCGTCGTCGACGGAACCACTCGCTGTGCTTCTGAGACTCACCATAACCAAAAACAATGCCAATAAGCGATCAGATGTCAGAAGACATACAGTGGTGCCTACGCCGGGGAAAGCAACACGGCAGCAGAGTGCAACACCAACATGTTCAATCATTACGCACCGGAAGTAAAACTGTGTTTCGTGAAATCGCCCTATAGGGTGATTCCTCTGGCTCATCAAACCTCGGCTCTGCACTAAAAACCTTTCAAGCTTTACTGTAGCACATATCTTTCTTTGGATCTAGCTTCAGAAGGGGCTTCACTGTCATGTACAAGCCCTGTGTCTCAATGGTATACTCACTGGTCGCTTTCCAGCGCTCCCGCCATCTAAATCTGATCTATGAAACACCGGAGCGCACCTGAATCTGAGCGAGACAGACAGTGCGCCAGTCGAACGCTCGTGAAGTTTTCCGAGTGGCGAAAAGCAAGCCGTGCCGAACGGAAGTTTCTGCGAAACTATCAAACAAAGCAGCGTTACAGCCTCAAAACTTCCTCGTACTCTGGTTCTTACCTCTCTGTCAGAGTACATCCTCATTACTGCGAAAACATGAGCCTTCATTTTGGGCACTGTGCATGGCACTTTGAACAATTGTACAAACTGTTTCCCCGTTGGCTTCGTAAACACAACCGTCTTCGTTGTCGTCCGAGCTGCTGCTATCACTGCTGTCTGCTAGGTCGACAGCAGCAATGATGCAATGCCCCATCAGCATTAAACGCCATATGGGGAGCACAACATAACGCTGGGATCGGTACGGCATTTAGGCACGACAAGTCTGTCAGCCATTCTCTTTCAACCGAACAATGGACTGGCGGAATGGCTGGAGTGACGTGACCGGTTGGCAGCATGTCTGCATCCTGCACGCTCCCACTTCAAAGTCAGAGCGCCTCAAATCGCTACAAGTTGGAGGAATACGAGAGTCGGAGCTTCGATAGCGCTCTAAAAGAACCAGCCGAACATACTTGGAGCGCCCAGCATCGACCAGCTAAATGCACAGCGGCTTTTCAGAGTGCTCTAAAACACTGGAAAGCAACCAGCCGTATATACATGAAAGTAGTCTGCCTGAACACAAATTGATGAAGGAATGAGACAGATGTGCCTTAGCAAACATAGAAACACCTTAAAAGGATGCTGAACCGAAATCTGGATTCCACAAGGCACGGCAGCAAAAGCGTACAAGGGGATGCTACAAACATCAAAACATCACTCATACAACGATATATCAAACGAATTACCATATTTTTCTAAAAAAAAAAAGGAGGCGCATTTGACAGTTATGTTTATGTCTTGTTTCTCCGAGGAGAAGGGAATGGCCTCGTGTCTTCTCCGCCTCGCCGCCTTGAGGGGGCGAAACCAAGGGAGAAGGAAACGAGATATCTTGACGTCACGCGCCTCTACAGCCTCGTTCAATCTCGACCTTTTTTCCCCCAAAATATGGCCGTCGATTCGAGATGTCGCCTTACGAGCAATGTTGTAGGGATTGTAGCATCCCGCCTACAGCTCCTGCATTGTTTTCTGAAATCAAAATTGTGGTTCCCCATCTCTTTAACATTTGTTTTTGTTAACACCTCACCTGACAGCAGGAACTTTTGATATGTCTTTTGGGGTGACGAGGGCATCCAGACCCTTGTCAGTCCACACTGCCCTTCGGAAGGCTGTGCCGAAGTGGGATGCTGTCAACCGCAGCTTGCGCTCTTTACACCACGTGGGACTCCGTGACTGCTGCCTCGTATTCCTCTCGAGGTCTCTCGCCTGCTGTGCTGTTAGCTGCAGGCTCTAGAATATACAAATAAAAAAACAATGCTGAAATAATTAACCAGACCATTTTGTAGTGCAAACTGTTTAGGACCAGATAAATTTATGACTGGTCCTATATAGATGCAAAAATCCCAAAAGGCCGCTCGCTTGGTTACGTTGCCTCACGTCAACCACTGTTGGCTGCTTTAAACGGTTTGTGACAGTGACTCCCAGAATATCCCTCGGTGCCGGTGGAGGGAACGGCACCTTTTGCAACAATTTACATGCACCTTTGCATGAGGGACCAAAGTTATTCATTCCATAAAGGTGCTTTTTGGTCCTGGTCTGCTCAATTGTGGACTTACCGACAACTGTATAGTCAACGTGAGTAAAGCTGCAGTCTTTATTTCAATTCACATCAGCTCTAGCATGCCACCGAGCTTCAAGATTAGTTTGTTGGCATTGTGTGCGAGCATATCCCACCCATTACGAACATAGGGTGGTCTCAATAACGCCATTTCAAGAACTATTCGTGCGCATACTCAAGTGCAACAACATTAAAACAAACACATAGCCCCCAGGTGCCCCCCCCCCCCCCCCCCTGTAACATAAGAACAATATTATCAGTGAGAATATGATGCGGCAAGCAGAAATGCGTCTCCATAGTTTTCCGTGCACACACAGCAGTGGCAGACCTTACAACCGCACTTCAATGTGATGTCATACAATTGTTCGCTGTATAGTGGCATTTACAATAACGATCTGTATCATTACCTCCAAAATCTCGTTTCCCAGGAACGGAATGGGAATCTCCCATGGTTCCCTTCCACGGAAGAACTGGCATTCTTGTGGGGCTTGGTAGGGGTGGCTTGTGCACTGGGGGATATTGGTGATGACCTTGAGTCCATGGGGGAAGACAGGCTGCTGGTACGCCAGCGGTGCAACAGCCAGTGCAGGGCCGAACTTCGTGTCCTTCGAGGTCTTGTCTTGCACTTGAAGCAAAGCTGCTGCAAAGTCAGTACAGCTGCCAAGGCTGAGGAGTGTTTCCGCAAACTTCCTCGTAGCAGCTTCTTGCTGCTCCTGGCTTCGGGGAGCCACCCTGCTCTCATAGAGGCGGGACATAAGTGGGGTGTCCTGGCCGCCCTCCCTCACACATCTCCAGTCAACTAACTGGATCGAAGTACCGCGGATGTGAGGCCCTCGAGGTACTCTCCACTGTTGCGGCAGGTCCGTGCAGGACAGCTCTGCAGGTGCCTCGCTGAAGCCTTTGGCCTGCAAAAGTGCTACGGTCCGAAGCAGCGCCATCAGGTGGTTGCACGCTACACCTCCAGCAGGGCAGTCACAGTTTCCATCCAAGAGTTGGCCTTGCACGTCTGTTGTTGCCATCACCGTGTAAGGAGGCTGAGTCTTTTTTTTGCTGCGGAAACAGGAGCCCTTCAGGTAGAAACGTCCTCCGCTGATTGGAATAAAAGAAATCGTACAGAGTGTTTACACATTTCAGAGACTTGAAAGCAGCTGCAGTTGTGAAGTGGACATACACATTTTCAGACAAAATACGGATCAGTTACCATACACAACCAGCTGCGAATTCCCCTTGCCATGCAAACAGCCTATGGAAATAGTTTCAACGTGCAAACATATATTTCATACATTTACAATAACATTACTGATCCAAGTGGCCTATTTTTTTTTTCTTTTTTAGGAAAACACCGAAGCTACCACGGTTGGAATTTAAGACATTATATTTGCGATACAGCAACAACTTCTTCAGTTGTGCAGTCATAGCAGTTCAGACGGTTTCTATTTTGGTGTGTTCGCGCTTTACGATATTTTCCGAAAATTCGAACGGGCGAGGCACCGTTCCGAACTACGGGTAAAAGATCATTTGTGCCTCCGCGGCTAACTTCTCGACTGGAAGCTTCAGGCGCCTTCACACCGGCGATGCGATGTAGTCGCGCGATAACTTTCATCGCTAAAGCGACCATCGCGGCAAAAAAAAAAAAAAAAAAAAAAAACGACGCAATTTGAGCAGTCGCTACCTGACCCGACTTTCTGCGATGCGGCTGAGCCAACGAGCAACGTTCGGAGCGAGTTTTTTTCCCGAAGCGACTCGCCAACGAAGGCGTTGGACTCTCATGGCGCACGCCGTTAACATCTAATTTTTTTGCGATGCGATCTATTGCCGGTGTGAACGAGTTGGCACACGATATGCGATTCAAACCGTAGAAAAATGAATCACTTGATTTTTTCGCGAGTAGTTCGCCCTTAATGAAGCGGGCACCACATACGCCTCGACGACGAAGTTGTAACTTCTCTCCATGGAGCGGTCCGTGGCCGAACGGCCTCTGTAGAACTTCTCCACTTCGCTGTCGCTGATCGGTGGCAGTTTCGAAAGGTCGTTCACCCAACCGGTGATGGGGAAGACGCCCGCACAAGCCATTGTTCGAAGGAACAGAGATCGGTAGACGCGCTCCGCACCGCCGCTAACCAGACGACTCACAGCCGAAGCGAAGTGACCGAACTTGCCGAACTGGCCAAACACTTCACAATGGCGGCGGTCGCCCAGTGTTGCTAGATGTTTCTGCTTTGCCGCTTAAAGATTTTCAGGGTTGCCGAAATTTCGAAAGGGGTCTATATCCCTAGTTTGAATGCCGCCTGCCAAGTTTTCTCTTGAACTCATTGCCATGCGGCATTCGACGCACGGATCTCGAGGGGACTAGAGTTCGAATCTGTATAAAGACTGTCTTTTATATGATGTATGCATGTGTGACTCCGGTTTGAACGATCGTTTGTGACAAAAGAGCGGTAAGGTTTTCAGACTCTTGTGACTGCTTACTGCTGATGAAGTTGACGAAGGCCGCGGAACGCCCCACTCTTTCTCCACGGAACGTCGTCACAGTCGGATGGCGCCGACTCGCCAATTGAACCCGAGCTCGATGATGCCGAGCGTCTTTCGGCGCATTGATTGGACACGATGCCGAGCCGAGCACTGACGCATCACTCGTATCCAATCGGCGTCTTCGCTCGGTCTCACCATGATGACGTCAAACTTCTAGTGCACAGGCTTTGATTATTCTACGTGGTGTTGACATAGGTGGATCGCAAAGGACGAAGCGTACACCAGTGCTGTAAGCGTTACCGAAAAAAAAAGTAACGAAATACGTTACTCGTTATATTCTCAAAATAAAGGAACGCGTTAGCAACCTACGTTACCCCAAAATCAAGGGAGCGCCTTATTGTTACCGTTATAGGTAAAAGGTAAGGCACGTTACTTTTGCGTTACGTTTTACTTATACATTGACGGTGACAATTTCTTTTTTGCAGCGGTTTTTTTTTTTTTGACAGTGGGACAAAGGACGTAGGCATAGGTTATTTTTCTTTTTTCTTTTTTTCCTAAAGTAGGTCTTTTTGAGTGGGGTAACTTCAGGTAAAATATTGAAGCATGTGTGCGGAAGGAGACCCATGATTAATGACTTGGCGCCTAAACTTCGTGTCAGCTTAAAGGGATGCTGAACTAAACATTTCAGTGCCTATAATAAGTAGCGCACGATCTTTCCCCGAGCCAGCAGGAGCCGGTGTGCGCGAGCATACGCAACGAAATTGACGTCATATTTTTTTTTCACCAAAATATTTTTTTAGCAAAATAGAAATGGTCACCGGATATGGTTGTTCGATCTTATCTGCAGCATTCAGGTAAGATTGCTTTTTACAAACTTTATAGAAAAAAATGCACCACCTGGGGGCAAGGCAGCGCAAAATCGTAGCGCGATAGGTTGAGAAACCGATCTTTGCGCCCGATTTAAAGAGCCTGGCCGCTATATGAGCCATACTGTATATGTGTTTTTCACATTGTACGGATGTATGGGCCCTACATCAAGACTTCGGTTATTCTAAGGCACAGAATAATAATAATAATAATAATAATAATGTATATATGCATGTATGTATATGTGTGTGCGCGATTGTGTAAATGTATGTGTGTGTGTGTGTTCCTTTATGTATGCATGTAATGCGTGCCACCAAAGGCATGCACTCTAAAGCCAGGCCACCAGAATGGCAGCACATGTCACGTCAATGCAACCCATGAAAGAGGGCGAGAAAGAAGTGGGATAGGGGCTTCCTCGCGCTTTCTTGCTTGCAGGGTTGGGACCAACGGGAGAAAGACCCCGATGGCGGTCATGAAGTGTATTTCGCCGGACGCCCGCCGTCGCTTTCGCACGTCAATGGGAGATGAAAAAGGCCAGCTTCCGCCCCAGCCCAGTGCTGTCGCAGAATCCGACGCACTCTAGGAGGCGCTGCGGTATTCGAAAATGGGGCTATCCTCGCAAAAACGGTTTATATGCAATCGCTCCTCCGAACCTTCCTGATTCCTTTGTCTACACATGGCTTTGAATTCGTGTTTTCGATCGCATCAACAACAGATAGTGCGCGCTTTCGCGCCTCGAAGTGCGAACCACGCGCTGTACATGTTCCCGTGTGAAACGACCAGCTTGCTCGAGAGACAAGTCGTCATTTTTCGCTTTGAGGACAACAAGGTCGCTAAATCCGCCCCTGCGCCTCCCGAGTCCATCCGCCGTAGAGATAAAACCACGTTCAAGACCGATACCGTGGGGGTCTGGGCACCGAAGAAACCCTTGTCAACACGGAGCGCAACCGAGAATCCCCCCCCGCACAAATACACAAGCTGTTTTTTTTTTTTCCTTCCATTTCGAACACGGATTCGCGAGGATCGGATTCTTGTGAGCGCGGTACCATGGCTCGAAATACGAGCACACGAGGGACGTCGGCCACGATAGGAAGATGGATTTCCGGGGGCAAAAACAAGGAGATTTGGCCCTTGTGAGCACAAGTAGCATGTTATTCTGGCGCTCGGTTTCAATTTCTAAACAAAAGGCAGGCAAAAAAAAAAGGCTCTGTGTACGTGTGAATGTTTATATAGCCTAGCACTTAGTCTGCCTCAACAGGCGACATATCTCCCAGCTATACACTCTTAGAAGAAAAAAGGGTATATTCTTTCGCCCATTGTCTTTATAAGACGTCCATAGACTTCAGTTCGACGTATAACGCGCTGACATTGAACCGACAGTACCAACGTTCACGAGCGGCTTGATAGCAGTGTGGTAAAGCTTAATTAAATAGCTAATGTACGTGTTACTGACTACAAGAAAAGAAAAAAAGGTTCTCTCGGTCTTATTTCAAAACCTCAATGTTTTTTTCTGTACTTTTTGTTGCGCACTTTAGCTATTTAATAACTTATATCGTAACGTTATCAAGCACCTCTTAAAGGTTGGGGGCGTAAAGGACGGGCGTCAGGGCGCTGTACGTCGAACTGAAGTTTTGAAGTGCATTATGGGACGAAAGGGTGTAAGACGACACCCTTTCTTTTTTAGAGTGTAGATGAAAAATTTAGCTACTACAGTACAATCGCTAGCCTGGGATCTTAACGTGAATCACGCAGTAGTGATACACGACCGCTCGCCGGTACGATGCTCATCCAGATCGAAACGGGATCCCTTGGTTGCAGAACCCAGGATCCCTGGGTTCTGCAGCGCGAGCTTTCGCTCCACATGCTCCGAGCTGGCGTGCGCTAGCCCACTCGGCCACCGATCCCCCAAAAAGGCAGGCAGGACTCAGTTACAGTGTGACTCAGTGAAAAAGGTCGGAGATCGAGCGAGCTTCAATGTTTCTTGTAATCCCTCTTTCTCGCGTGCTTTGAAACGTGGTGGCGCCCGTGTGCAAATAGCCCCCACTTCCGGTTCTGAACTAGAAGGCCGGTACTTCAATATTTGCGAAGTCCAATATACACGCTATCTCCTGGAAATGGCCACTAATTGCACCGTCAGCCTTAATTCACTCTGATTATAAAACTTGTGATAAGTCAAAAATTATAAAATATACGTGAACCGGAAGTGAACCGGAGGTGTGGGCACTGCGCACGCGCAGAAACCAGATTCTCGTGAAGTCGAGCTTTGCGCATGCGCCCTGCCAATAGCATCGCCACCCTAGCGGCGTGACGTCAGGGCCGCGTGTGGGTTCATAGGCAGGGTTTTTTTGTTTTTGTTCAGTGCAAATGTTTTCTACTAAAAATCCACGATGCCCGTGTCCCACTAGAGCGACAGACAGAAACAAAAGACAGCGACAAGCCTCAAACCCATGCGGCACGCTCGGGATGGTACCTTTGGCAGGCGTTTAGTATAGTCGTTTGGTGCTCGTGAAGTAAGCACGAGCGATTGCAAGCCTGCCAAAGATACCCTCACGCGCATGATGCTCGTGTTTAAGCATAGCCTCCTTTCTACAAAGCGTCCCAAATCGCGAAATACTCTGGTTTGAGGCTTGTCGCTGTCGTTTGTTTCTGACTGTTGCTCTAGTGGGACACGGGCATGAAAGCTACACAAAGGCTAAAGCCGGGGTGAAACTGTTTATACATCACACCAACGACCATCTCCGAACGCGAGTCACCACAATATCCGTGGGTTGAATGCCGCGTGCCAAGTTTCTCCAACTCATTGTCACGCGGTATTTAAAGCACGGATCTCGCGGTGACTCGCGTTCGAATCTGTATATGCAGACTGTATTTTGTATGATGTATAAGCAACGTGACCCCGGCTTAAGGGTGAGTATTACAACGAGGCCGACGTTAGACGGCGGTGTAATGGTTCTGATAATCGTCACAGACTGTCTCGGAAATTCTGACAGAAGCAATTACCTAGACAATTCATTCCGTACGGGTTCAAGTGGATTGGGACCATTATGTTCTGGGTCATTGTGTCCTCTACCCTTGTGAAACAAATGAGATAGAATTCGACAACCAATATGCATTTATAAATGCAGCCGTAGCCTCCTACACAGAGTTGTTCTTTTGTTGTTGTTGTTGTTTTATCCGAGAATTGTTTTAAGGGAAGTTTTTTGGGGGTTAGTAGGCAAAACTGGTAAACTAGATTATTAACTTAAATTCTTGACAAGCTTTCTATTTTTTAGAGGCATTAGGTGTTTGGGGTATTTATTTCGACCTCAATGAGCTCACTGAGTCGTAAAATTTGATGTATATCTTTTTCTCAAGGTTCCACGGGATGGGAAACATCATCTTTGATCAGCTTCGACTTGAAACTAAGATATCAAAAAGCGCCAGAGATGTCGATACCCTCAGCCTTCCGCCGGTTGTGCAAGTAATAGACCGTCCACGAAATGGTGAAACGATGCATACATTATGCGCAGCCGCCATTAGTTGATCTCATTGCTTTCGGCGTGAAGCTCGTGATTGCTTCCGAGTTCGCGCCGAGCGCTGACGCAGCGCTCGTGTCCAATGCGTGCTCACAGTGCATGACCGACTAATGTCGGCCGCACATAATCTATGCATTATTTTGAAATCTTGAAAAGAGTCTATTACAGCTGCAATTGGGCACCTTTTTTTTTAGGCGTTATGTGTAAGGTAAGGCTTTC